TCAGGTTGAAGAGTAACCTGGAACCAGACTGAAAAAATTGGTTCATTTCAATCCAATCCAGTTTATGTTAAAAGGAAAATCTGAAATCAGATCAGACTGGACCAGTTATTTTAGTCTAGTTCAATCTAGTTCTATAATAAAAAAATGGTGCAAAAATATTTTTTTAATTATAATTGCATTGAAAAAATGTTTTCATCATAATATTTTTTCATTAAATTAATTAAAAAATATTGTGAAAATATTTTTTAATGGTTTTTACTTCAAGTTACTGGGGTGATCATCACCGTTAGCCAGAATTATCAATTTTTACTGGCACTATAGTTTTTTAATGCTAGTTAATTGTTATAATTTCAGTCACCAGTGATCATCACCTCTGGTGATAGTTAAAAAAATTCTTTTTTAATTATAATTACTTTGAAAAAATGTTTTGCAATATTTTTTTGTTAAATTAATTAAAACATTGCAAAAACATTTTTAAATTATAATTGCTTTAAAAAACATTTTTACAACATTTTTTTGTTAAATTAATTAAAAAATATTGCGCAAACAATTTTTTAATTAAATATACTTTGAAAAAATATTGCGCAAATATTTTTTTTGTAATAATACCGTATATCGCGGGCCATAGTACCCCCTATACATAGTACCTTCCTTGAAAAATTTCATAGAATTATATAGTATCCGGGGGATATTTTACAATTATCTCGTGATCTAGTGATCAGATTTGAGCCATCTTTTTTTGTTTGATAGCTCTCATTGAGCTCTTCAAAATAAAAAAAAGATCGTTCAAATTGGACCAGTAGATCGTGAGATATTTGCAAAAAATGGAATTTTTAGGCTTTGTTTAGTACCTGGGGGTACAGGGTCAAACCCCCGATTTTTGCAAGATACCCGGGGTACTGTGACCCGCTATATACGGTATATTAAAAAACGTTTTGTGATATTTTTTTATTTAATAATTAAATAATCGCAATAGTTTTAATATAAAACTATTGCGAAAATATTTACTCAATCTGATCTGATTTTAATCTGTTTAATTCAGTCTAGGTTAGATTTATAATCTGAAACTAAACTAAATATTTCAGTCTGAGTTGAAGCAACAACTTGGACTGGACTAATCTAAATTTTTAGTCTAGGTTGTCAGATTAGAACTGACCTGATTAGAGCTTTAAAATTACTCAATAACACTTTCACAATCAATAAATTTAAAAGTGCAAATTATATTTGATTTTCACTGGTCATAATCAGTTGGCTAAGTTGAATAGATTCAACATATGAATCCTAATCTTATTATATTCAAGTTTAATACTACTTTTGTGATTACATAATACTGATTCTCAATAATATTTGATTATTTTTTTGATATATAATAGATTTTTATGTAATTATTTTATTACTCATAACTTTATAGCTTATTTTTTAAAAAAATAAAATGATCAATAATGCAATAAAAAAATAAAAATACTACTTTTTTCAATTTTAAAAATGATTATGAATACCATCATATCCTATGAGAATAACTTCTATTTATGGTTATTAATAGCTATTTCTATAAATACAAGTTTATTGTATCTGATCAAAACCTGCTTTACTTCTAAAAAAGATTACCTATTAGCTTAAGATATATATAAAATTAAAAAAATCTATTTAAGTTTATAAGGTAAAATTCTTTATAAATTAAAAAAAAGCAAATGTAATTTTGCATTGGCAAATTTTTTGGAGTGCAAATCTGTGCAGATTTGCAGATTAATTTTTTTATACAAATCTTAAGATATGCCATCGATTTTTGAAGAAAAAAATTTATAATTCCTGTGCAGAATTTTAAGAAAGTAAATTTCTGTGAAGATTTTTAAAAAAATAAACCTGCTAAGAATTTCAAAAACAAAATTCTATGAAGATTTTTGTTATTAAATTCTGTGCATATTTTACAAAATAAAAATCTGCAAAATTCATCAGAATAATAATAAATTATACAGATCTCAATTATTATTTCAGTATTATCTAACATCATCAATTTATTAATTAAACGTATTACAAATTTATTGCTTTACTACACTATTTTATTAATGCACTAATAGCTAACTAAAAGTTCTGCAATTTACATGTTGTTAATAGTTTAGAACATTGTTCCAGTTGATTCAATTCTAACAAATAACAAACAAAATAGAAAATCAAAGATGTTTGTTATAAATAAGAAAAACATTTCAAAGTTATTACTTTTGAAATGTTTGAATGAATAATTAGTAAAATGTTCGTTAAAAAAAGTAAAAAATAAAGAACTTTAAAGTGTTATTACCTTTAAAGTTCTTTTAAGTTCTTCCAAATGGAAGTCCAGAATCTAAAAAATAGAAGAAAAATGAATATTAGTAGAATGTTCATTAAAGAAAAATAAAAAAAAAAAACTTCAAAATGTTATTACCTTCGAAATTCTTTCAAATGGAAGCTGGAACCTAAAAATAAAAGAATAGTGAATATTAATAAAATGTTTATTAAAGAAAAAAATACAAAAAAAAAATGAAAAATTTTAAATTTAAATTCTTTCATTCAGAAGTTGAAAAACTAAAATCCTACAAAAAAATGACTGAAATGTTAGTAAATGTTTTGTAAATTAAAAGCAACAAAAAAAAAGAATTTTGAAAAAATACCTTCAAAATTCTATTCAGAAGAGTTTAGGAGAGCTAAAAACCTAAAAAAAGATAATTAAAACATTTATGATGCTTTATTAAAATAAACATAAAAATAAAAATAAAATCAAAGTTTACATTCAGAATTAAGGTCCTTTGGTATTCTAGATCTATAAAAAAAAAAGAAAAATGAACATTAGTAAACGTTCATTAAAAAAAAAAGACTCCTTTTTTTTGAAGTTATTTTATCTTTAAATTGAGTCTAAGACATATATCTTCAGTATCTTAGACCTACAAAAATGAAAATGAACTTTATAAAAAAACTAATAAAAAAAATACTTTTAAAGGATATAGCCGTTTATGACTAAATAATATAATTATATTATTTAGTCATAAACGGCTTAGACTAGGTTATTTAGTAATAAAATAATCTAACTATAACTAAATAATCTAAGTATGACTATAAATAATCTAACTATAACTAAATAATCTAAGTATGACTATAAATAATCTAAATATAACTAAATAATTTAAATATATCTAAATAATCTAAAGTTAATAACCTAAATATGATTAAATACTCTAACTAAATAACCTGTTTGTGACAATTTTGTATACCTAGTTATTTTTCTTACTATATTCCTTCCCTTTGAATCCGCTTTTCTTTAGCTTTTTCCCATTTATTATTTGTGATCATGTGATTAAATAACCTAAATATTACTGTTACTAAATAATCTAAATGTACCTATTTTTGTTTGGTTCTCTGCGCCAATAATCTTTTTCTAATATAATTTATGTTATTGGGTTTCTATGGTTGATTGGTTATTAAATTCTATGTTGGAGGTCCAGCCTGTCTGCAATTATTTGGATTCTAAGTTTTATGATGAAGTTTTTGCCATTCTGCGCCTCTTTGGTTGTCTGTTAAGGATTCGAGGGTGCTTTTCTTTTTTACTTATTTTGTTATTTATCAAAATGCTGAAATATGGTAAAAAAATATCATGTTAGGTGGTGCAGTAGATCTGCGATTAATTTTGGCCAGCACTATACCATAATTTTGGCCGATCTTTTGGGCATATGATTCGAGGATCCAGCTTAGTACCATGATGGTGACTTGATAGTGTCCTAGAACTTCTGTGAAGCTGTCATGGAACTAGTGAGGAACCATCATGGAAGTGTTATGGAATGTCAGCTTGGATGCCGACTTCTTATACCCAAAGTTCTGACCGAAATTGTGGAATAATGCTGGCCGGTACTGCGCCAGACACGTGATACTGTTCCATCACCAGAACAGCCATTCATAGTTACGGGCTAGTAATGGAAACATTTCTGGAACATTTCTGGAATCCAATATATATGCATTTGTATCACATATTTTTGTATCCATATATTTCTGAAATCTTCCTAGCTCCAGTCTGGCGGATGGTTGGTTAGTAAAGAATTGGAGGTGCAATATGTAAACATATTTTTGAGATGGATTTCGTTCTAAAAATTCCGTCCTAGTTGTCTAAGTTATTGGGTCAACTAGGACGGGAACTAGGACGGGTTTTGATATGGGAGAAAAGCTTCTTTCTTTGATCTAACTTGTTCTTATATAC